TGTGAAACCAGCACAACCTTGATACCAAACCAGGCAAAGACATCACCACACAGGAAAACTACAGGCCAACATCCCTCCTGAATATAGACGCAAAAATCTTCAACAAAATCCTAGCCAACAGACTCCAACAACATATCAAAAAAAATAATACATTATGACCAAGCTGGATTCATACCAGGTATGCAAGGACGGTCCAACATTTGTAAGACAATCAACATCATCCATCACATAAGTAAAATGAGGGGAAAAGGGCATGGGGGTGGCATCTGACTTCCTCTAACTTCACAAGGGGAAAGAAAGATCAAGGTCAACAGCTCCAGGCTGATTCCTAAGAAGTGGAGGTCAGACATGCTGCCATCTGTGAACCTGCTTGCCAATTCTGACACCAACCATCCCTCCCCCCAGCTCTACTTCTCTGCTGGGTATCGATAATTTGTTGCAGTGGCCACATAGAACTCACAGACAATGCTCATGATTATGGGGTTTATTAGGGAAGTAAAAGGTTCAGGTTCAGGAACACTCAGGATACAATTCTTTGATCAGGACAGCCCTCCCTAGGCAAAGCCTGCAGGCACACCTCTCTTTGGCCCTTGGTCTCTCAGCCTGGCTTCCGTCCTGCCGGGCAAGTGCTAGAGCTCTTTTTGCTCTGCCAATAGGTGCACCCCCCTCTGCCAGCAAGCCTCACACCGAATGCACTCAGCTTCTCACTCCTAGGTCTCTGCTGCCACTGTTTCTCTGCTGCTGCTTCTCCCTGCCTCTCGCCATCTCAGCAAAGTGCTATAGCTCACTCTGTCTCCTGGGTTGAGAAGATTCAGTGCAGGGATCTCAGGTCCAAAGAATACGCTGTACTCCTCACTCTTCTTTCTTGACAGCAGTGAGATCTGCCTTTCCACTTCTGGGATGGCTCATTGAAGCCTAGTGAGATGGCAAAACTGACCAATCCCCACATTAGGGTCCCCTCTGGTGATGTAGTGCCTAAGGCATTTGACTGCTAACCAGGAGGCTGGCGGTTCAAACCCACCAGCCACTCCTCAGAAGAAAGGTTGAGCAATCTACTTCCATAGTAATACTGCCTCGGAAACCCAAGGAGGGGTCGCTATGAGTCGGGTCCAACTTGACGGAATGAGTTTGGTTTAAAACAACAAAATAGCAAATACTTCAAGGAGTGTTGGCCAGACATCTCTGTTGACTCAGCTCTGCTTTTGTAGCTGGAAAGCCAGCAGAGACAGTATGAGCTAATAAAACTTTATTTATGGACAATGAAATTTGAATTTCATAATTTTCACATCATCAGATATTATTTCTTCTTTTAGGCATTTTCTTCAAGCATTTAAAAACATAAACACCATTTCTAGCTCACAGACAGTACAAACATGGATGGCAGGCGATGTTTGGCTTGTGGGCCATAGGGGCTCCTCTTCTGGAGCATATTAGACAAGAGGGCCTCAAATTTAGGTGAGACCTGGGAAAATTTTTTCAAGCAGAGACCAGTAAACGCAAAGATCCTAAGGCTCAAGTGAGTTTGGTGTGCTCCTAGGATAGAAAAATCTGTGTGGCTGAACTGCAGTGAACAAGAGGAAACAAAGAGCATCATGGGACAAAAAACAGTGGTCCCTGCAAGTGTGAATGTTTTCAAATTTATCCACATTTATCAGAAAGCCCTTTTGAACAAAGGGATGTGCTCTTGATAAAGAGTGCCTGTGTGGCACAAATGGTTTGGGTTCTGGATCAAAATGGCTACAGCCACATGGGCTGGGCTAGGATACATCTCTCAGAGCCCATTTCCTCACCTGTAAAATGTATGGGGAGTACTTGGACGGTGCAGTTAAGACACTCAGCTGCTAAACACTTTCATTTGGAGGTTTCATTGGAGGTTCAAGTCCATTAAGAGGTTTTTGAAAACCTGGTGATCCCTTTCCATAAAAATCAATCATTAGAGAACAATCATGGAAGAAAGAAGGGCGGCTTATGCACAGGGAGACAGCTCAGGGGGCAGGAGTGCAT